CTATTTATCGACTGTTTTTTCGGTCGTTTATTGAAAAACACCTATTTTTCATTGATCAGTCCAAAAATATTGTTTTTACCACTTTTTCTTTACCAGAAATGATGTCAGTTAACAGTGAGTCGACGGAGATTTGTTTGAAAAAAATCAGAAAACTTTCTCCTTCTTGAGTGTGCAAAATATTGGGATAGAACGTTTCTGAGGAGGATTTTCTTGCTTTGGAACTGGTGCTAGTGATGGCACTATAGCCTTAGAGACCAAAAATATTAAAAAAATTGCAGTTTTCTAAGTTTTAAGACTACCTGGCAATAAATAAATAGGATGTTAAAATAACTGCAAAATGATTGATAACACCCATTTATGAGAAGAGAAGTAGAGGCCATGATGCTGTTTTTAAGCTGTGTGAAATGTCTAGAAAATGTCCTTTAACTACCGAGTTAATGACCATTGAAAAATACTTTGTCGGTCGTTTAATGTGACCATTTTCCACATTCTTAGCATGAATGAATAGCGTGCAGCAATCGGTTTTGTAAGAAACTATATATTAAATAGAAATACAGCTGACTTACTTCTCTCTTACTATATATATATTTCTTTTTTTCTGATTATTTCGTCGATTTCTGAAACGGAAACAATGAAATAGAGTCAGCCTATTGTTTCTATTAAAAAAGAGGAAGTTGTGGTCTGGAATACCAATGATTTTAAGCACTTATATTGAGCAAAGGTCAGATCAACATCAAATTTCTATTTGTTCAAGATTAATGTAATGAAAATAATAAACGAGAACATATTCCAATACATTTTATTTTCGAACGTGTTCTTTGTCTCTACTGAATTTCCGATGAATTTTAATCGAAAAGGATTTCGAAACACGTGTGGAAGAGCAGTTTTGAATAAAATTGAGAATAGAAAGTAAGGAACTGCGACAAAAAATATATTTTAAAGATTTAGTTAAAACTTTTAAAAAATGTTTTTGATCGCAGATCTTTACTTCCTATTATCAAATTTCGAAACACGTTTTCTTCCATTTTTCAGTTCAAAAAGGCAAACGACGCGTCTTTTCTTCGTGATCTAGTTTTTGTTCTTTTCTATCTCCATTTGTAGAGTAAGTCTTAAGATTCGCTTTAGCATATCATAGCCCTGGAAAAAATTCGAAAACGTAAAGCTAGTGAGAAGCATGATACCTTGAACATCTTGGATCTGATACGAAATGTTCATTTTTTTTTTTGCTATGACTCATCCATTTCTTTATCTGAATACGTTCTCCTAGGATGCGGAAAAACGCGTTCCGATGAAGAAGAATACTGAGTGTAACGTATTTATCTCTAATTTTATTTTTTGAATATACTCTGACGTCTTCTTTTTTGACCAAAAACGTGTTTTCTACCATAAAATTGAAAAACGGAAGGAAGTATGAGTCCAAAATACTTTCTCATTAAAACTGACTGGTAATATAGTTAATTATGTAAAAAGAGCAAATAGAATATAGAACTGCAATAAATATCCTGATTATAATACATAATCAATACTTATTAATATATTGAGTTGTTGACATGTTTCTCATGTCATCACCGAGAGAAAAATAAAAAAACCAAATACGCCTAGATCCATGATATCAAATAAATATATGGTTGTAAATATTAAAACAAAATAAAATGGAAAGACATATTGGAAGTCTATACAAAGAGAAAAGAACTAAATATAATTGTATTATGATACACAGACGAATCTAGTTTTCTCTCTTCTCTATGTTTTTGACTGATCTGTTGAATAATAAAATAAAGACATATGGAATATTCGTTATGACGATGACATGAGAAACATATCGAGCAATTCAATAAATAAATAAGTATCGATTTTGTATTATAATTAGAACTTTTATTGCAGTTCTATACTTTTTTTACTCTTATTACATAATTAACTGTATCATGTATTCATTTTAACAGAAAAACATTCCAAAAACACGTACCTGAATGCATTCAAAAGTAAAAAAGTAAATAAACGCCTTATCGATCGGGAAACGAGAAAAAAAAAAGTAACAATAAGAAAATGAGTTTTTTTTATCGTTGTGAATATAAAAACCGGAAATAAAACTACATTTTCTAATTGCTATCATAACGTGTTCTAATGACAATAGTAAAGTTATCGAAAATAATAGAAAAAAGATAGATATTTTGTTAAATAATCGAACAATGTATCTCAAAACTATATTTTAATTTTATAATTTTTAGAAAAATAATGATAATACATTTACTGAATTATACAAATCTCACCGAATATAATAGAACATACATTTTTAATTCATTAATTTATGGTCAAACTGATGTATTTAATTTATTCACTCGAAAAGCATCTTGTTTATTATCTGGAATTGGAATGATAACAAATTTAATTATATTTATTACATTATTAATTTATCGTCGACATTGTACAACATATTTTCTTTTATTAACAATGGCCATAAATGATTGCATCTATTGTTCAATGTATCTAACATCTTATTTATCTGTAAACAATATTTTAAATATAATAAATAGATTTATTCTTTGTCAATTATCATTTTTTTTACAATCATTTTCATTTATGTGTTCATCATTAATATTATTTGTATGTTTAATGCATACCTATAAAAAATATGATCGTTCTTATAATACTGCTACTGGTCAATTATGTGGTCGTTTATCACTATTATTTATATTTGGTATTGTTTTTGCTCGTGCCTTTCTTGACATGATCAGTGTTGATACTGAAATAGATAGACGAACAAATAGAAACATTTGTAAAGTATTTAATTTAGAAAATATAACTAGTTTAGCTAAAATGACACAATATATTTTACAAATTATCTATGAAACAGTCGATACACTTATTTATCTAGCTTGTTTTATTGTTACACTCTTGATACTATATAAAAAATCATTTTGTTGTAAATCGAACAATAATAGTCAAATGATGATTTATCGATCACATCCTCATATTAGTTGTTCAAATTCAGTTTCAAATATAATTCAATCACCATCATCATCACAACGTAAACCATCAGTTGAGTCATTATTATTAAAAAATCATTATCGTACACATGTAAGCACATATCAAATTTGTTTACCTTCTACGACAGTGCCTATTGCAAATAATGATCTAATACCTGATAAACATCATCGTCTTGATTTGGTTATATTTTCATTAGGTGTTCAAACATCATTGCTATTTTTTCCCGTGATATTTTTAAAATTAGATGCTAATTTTAGTATTTTATCATTGCAAGCCTATCTTTTGAGACATTCGTTCTGGTATTCGATAGCACATCCATCCGTTTTATTGAGTTTAGCAACAAGAATATTTGCCTATTGTCTATTTGATATGAATTTTCGTCACTATTTTAATAAAATAGTCGGTATTAATTGTTCATCCAATTGTCTATCGCTTTGCTGGATTACGTTTAAAAATAGAAATAAATACATGGTTAGAATCAATTGTAATAGAGAGTTCACTTAGTTACTGTTTCAATCAGCTATCATTGTATTGTGATTGCTTCGTTGTTCTACTTTTCTAGTCATTTAATTCCTATTTGAAGCTGCTATTATAGTTTAAAGAATTTGTATAACTTGAAATTCTTTTTTATGTGAAAAAGTTTTTAAGCAGATACGCGTGATTGTGCTTATTGTCGACATATGTTTATTGTATAATGCTGATATTTCTATTCTTCTTCCTCTTTTTGCCTTTTTGGAACATATCCTCGTTAGTCACGTTTTTCTATCAGGCTGTTCATCAATAACATAGTCTATTATAGCTATGGAAAAGGAAAAGGAAAATTTAGAAGGTGTCAGTCAACTATCGCCTGTACAACAAATTGAACAGATCGATGAAGAAACGATAGAGAAGAAGACGAGAAAACGAGAGAAAAAAGGTTCACTGAACGATTAAAACTAAAAACGCTAAATGAAGATCAATTGTTTGACGAGTTTAATGGTATTCAATTGACGTTTAAAGCCACCAAAGATAAGAAAATTCCACTTTACGATCAAATTCAAGCTTTCATCAGTCAAAAAACTGGTCCACAGAATACCGAAATGAAAACAATTTCGTCGTCTTCTTCTTCATCGTCATCACAAAGTGAGTTGCAATTCTCTCTGTGAATTCTCTAGCGTGCACATCGTACTTCTTTCTTTTCTTTATACTGCGTGCACGCAGTATAAAGCGGTATATATAGGGTACAGCATGCTGTACGCTATAACCTTAAACAATCCTTCGTTTCTTATACTTTAAATAAAATATCTTTGTACATATACTACATATACAACTTTTACACACTAACCACGTGTAGCTTTTCGAGCTACTTTTAGTGTAAACATGGCAACAGTTAATTTGCCATTAGCTGACCCTAACTTGCAACCGGTAATTAGTAATATATTGCATAATAATTATGAGAATATGCAAATAAAAAATCGTACAACAAAAAGAGTTCGGAACGAATACGGTGAGGAGGACAATGATGGTGTTATTGTTGATGACGACCCGACTAATCCATTCATATTAGTTAAGAATAAAAATAATCAGCAGAAACAACAACTAACAACGTCGAAAACTATTCTAGATAGTCAACAACAAATCAAGCCAATAGTTACAAACCTAGCAGAACGTTATGCATGTTCATTTAGATATCCAGCCATCAAATTGAAACTATTAGATGCGACAATAGCGATCTTTGAAACACATGTTAAAAACTTCCTAAACGAACTGGAAAATAAAACAAAAAATATTCATATAGCATTTTGGCATATTGATAAAAATATACTATCGCTATTTGTGGATACCAGACAATCATTTGCATATTTACTTCAAAAGCAATCATATCCGGATTTATTTAATGGACAAAATTTCGAGATAATTCCACCGTTAAGAATCCCACCTCAAATGTCATTGTTAATAACTGGAGTGCCTACACATCTTACAAAAGATGATATTTTAGATGATGCAAGAATTCATTACCCATCGATTAGTGATGCACTCATACAATTACCGTCACAAGGTGCACGTGCATGTAATGTTAGATTAGATTTTACTAACAGTGATGAATATGAAAAATGTCACATATTAGGTAAAATTGGTATTAATCATATGGATTTAAAAGTTAAACAATACTTAGCTAAACCAAAAGTTTTATTTTACAATAAATGCCACGGTTACGGGCACTGCACTTTGGAAATAAATGTAAATCAAATGTGAACTTATGTAAAGAATGTAGCATTGACATAACAAGCAACAATAATCATGCATGCAATGGGCCAAAATGTAAAAATTGCGGACACGACCATTACTATTATGACAACCGTTGTCCTGTTTTAATTGAATACAACCGCACATTACTATCCACACTAATTGCAAAAAACATGATTAATAATCAATTTCATATTCCTCGTAAATTCCGTGAACGTACTGAGTTATTGTTTAGAAATAGTAATAATATTAATAGAAATCATACAACAGTCTCATATGCATCAATAGTTAAAACAAAAAATACTCCTCAGCAAATCAAAAATACTAATGACGACAATAATAATCAAATAGATAACGATAAGAACAGGATTAATGAGATTTCGAGTATTAGTAATAACTTTACTCAACAATTGCTAACGATACAAAATGAACATATAAAACAAATGTTAGAATTACATGAACGCATGAATCGTATACATGAATATGGGCAATGTACGCAAATACATTTAAACTCATTGACACAATTACTTGAATCCGTCATTGTACCAGCAGTAAGTCATATAGCTCACGGTTTTACTAGTTTCGTCACAGCATTAAATACACAAGACTATACAGAATTGAATAAACAATTAGAAACAATTAATCTTATACCAAAAACTATGTCTGATGGTTTATTAAGTACCCGTATAGTCATGGCACAGGCATCGAGTCTCGTTTTAAATTGTATCGCAAATGCTATGAATACTAAAATATCGTCTTCTGTGTCTTCGTTAAATGTAAATAATACTTCACCTCATTCTTCTGGTAAGACTGCATCTTCACCGCCAAATAACAGTGCTAGTTTATCAATAAGCTTAACATGAACTTAAAACCAGAAGCCGAACCTTTTGTTTACTTTAATCCGACTATCAACTCGACATCGATTGCTTCTGTTTCTACCGTAATTTCTTCCCTTTCTAATTCTGATCAAAAACTGCTATTTTCTTTAGTAGACGAATGGAATTCTAAAACATATCACCGGAACAAAAAAAATAAAGTTGGTTTAGAGTTGCTGAAAAGTGGTTTTTCGTATTCAGCACACTCGATAACCCAGAAGATTTTCTATTTTTGGCTCGGGGTACTTCCGAAAGTTTAAGA